ATAATTCTTCAACTCATCTCTAACGGACGCGCAGATACGTAAAAAATAATAGAGAAACGAATTTTTAATTATCAAGTGAAAAACTAAAGCTATATAAGGAGCAAAATTACCAACAAAAAGTAGATAATCTTCAAAGAAAATAAAACGCGAAGTGAATCAAGTGACAAAATTACTGTCGGACTGTGTACTGTGAAATGAATTATTATAATACGATATTGATTAACTACATAATACAAAAGGAGTAATAAAATGAAAAATTAATATTCAAATTCATCTATGTATGTCGTTTCAATCAAAAAGGTATAATGTATTTTACTATTTCAATTTCAGTATTTCAATGATATGTTTGAGACCAATTGGAGAATTACATTGGAGTTCAAGTTGAGAACTAGCATTTTCTCAACTTGAGAAACAGTAATTTTTTCATACAAAGAAAAATTCCCTTTTTGTTGAGAACGCTATGATCCTCTATATGAGGTACTGTTGAGAAACAACGTTGGAGATTTGAGAAATACCTTAGTTCTCAACTTAACCTCAAGTTGAGCTCAAACCTAAATGTTTGTTGGGAATGGTAGAATATATGTTTGTGTAGACAGTGACGGGCAAACCTGTAACATGGTGTAACACTTTTTACTTCAGCCATCGCTATCTTTCCAAGTTCTAACGACTTTCATACTTCTGTTGTATATTCTTATTGGTACACCTGTACTACCCCTCATAATGATTTGAAGTCAATCCAACAACAATAATAAAACCAGCGAACCAAAATGTAAATTAATACAAATGTTACAGTTTTGCACTCATATATTTTTAAGACCTTTTTTAACAAGTTTCACGAAAAAAAACTATTAAAAAAATGTTCAGTACCCTTTTTTTAGTCCCTGGATGCGACTTGGCATACCTTATTTGTATCTCTGTAAAAATTCTGGAGGTAGATCCTCCCATATATCCTTAGTTTGCTTTCACAGCTCATGTACTCCTTTGTACGGACTTGGATACTTAGTAAGCTGTGCTTTTAGTTGATTTCGCAAATTCTCGATGAAATTCATGTCCGCGG